ACATCCCCAGGGATAGCGTGATCCCTGTCACACACACACGTGTCACATGTGTCACATCCCCAGGGATAGCGTGATCCCTGTCACACACACATATCCCCATGTCCCCCCATGCCCCCGTGTTCCCCCCGTCCCCATGTCCTTGTCACACACACACATGTCCCCGTGTCCCCCCGTGTCCCTCCCATGTCCCCGTGTCCCCATGTCCCCATGTCTCCATGTCCCCCCGTGTCCCCCCATGTCCCCGCGTGTCGCGTGTCGCGTGTCCCCACCCGTGTAGATGGAGGCCTCGCGGGCGGCCACCGGCATGTTGGACGTGTTGGCCACGAGCGTCGTGCGCTTCATGATGGACTCGGAGCGGCCACCGACCTCCATGGTCAGCTGGGGACACCGGTGCCACGTTGTCACCGCCTGCCACCTCCCCGTGTCACCCCCGTGTCACCGGGGGACAGCCCTGCCCCCCCGATGTCCCCCCGTGTCCCATGTCCCCCCTGAGGACTCTCTGTGAACACCCGTGTCACTGTCACCCCCCTGCCACCCTTGAGTCCCAGTGTCCCCCCGATGTCCCCCCGTGTCCCATGTCCCCGTGCCACCTCGGGAAAATCCCTGAAGCCCCTCCATGAACACCTGTGTCACTGCCACCCCATGTCACCGATGTCCCTCCCATGTCCCCCCGTGTCCCAGTGCCACCCCAATGTCCCCCGATGTCCCCGTGTCACCTCGGGGAAGTCCCTGAAGCCCCTCCACGAGCACCCCTGCCCCCGCGTGTCCCGGTGTCATCCCGGTGTCGCCGTGTCACCTCGGGGAAGTCCCTGTCCCCGCCCTGCCCCCGCGTGTCCCGGTGTCCCGGGGCTGTCCCGGTGTCCCGGTGTCGTCCCGGTGTCACCGTGTCGTCTCGGAGAAGTCCCTGAAGCCCCTCCACGAGCACCCCTGCCCCCGCGTGTCCCGGTGTCCCGGGGCTGTCCCGGTATCCCGGTGTCATCCCGGTGTCGCCGTGTCACCTCGGGGAAGTCCCTGTCCCCGCCCTGCCCCCGCGTGTCCCGGTGTCCCGGGAATGTCCCGGTGTCCCGGGGCTGTCCCGGTGTCCCGGTGTCGTCCCGGTGTCGCCGTGTCACCTCGGGGAAGTCCCGCAGCACCTCGGACATTTCGTTGCCGCGCTCGCCGCAGCCCACGTAGACGATGACATCGCTGTTGGAGTACTTGGACAGGGACTGGGAAATCACCGTCTTCCCGCAGCCGAACGCGCCCGGGATGGCCGTGGTGCCCCCCTGCACGCACCTGGCGACAAGGGGACACGGCCCGGGGGTGGCGGCACCCCGGTGCCACCCTGCGCCTGTCCCCGTGGCCGTCCCCACCCCTGTCCCGGCGCCGGCCCCGTCCTGGCGCTGCTTCTTGTCCCCATCCCTGTCCCCAAATCCATCTCTGCCTGTCCCCAAATCCATCTCTGCCTGTCCCCATCCCTGTTCCCAAATCCATCTCTGCCTGTCCCCAAATCAATCTCTCTCTGTCCCCATCCCTGTCCTCAGCTCCGGCTTTCCCTGTGCCCAGTCCCATCCCTGTCCCTGTCTTTGTCCCCATCCCTGTTCCCTGTCCCCATTCCTGTCCCGATCCCATTCCCTATGCAAACAGTGCACGCCCCTAGTCCCAGTCCCGGTCCTGATCCCACTCCTGATCCCGGTCCCAGTCCTGATCCTGATCCCGCTCCTGATCCCGATCCCAGTCCCAGTCCTGATCCTGGTCCCAGTCCTGGTCCCGATCCCTACAGGAACACTGCACCCCCCCAGTCCCTGTCTCCCTGTCCCTGTCCTGATCCCAGTCCCGGTCCCGATCCCAGTCCCAGTCCCGATCCTTAGAGGAGCATTGCACCCCCCCAGTCCCGTTCCCGTTCCCGTTCCCGTTCCCGTTCCCGTTCCCGTTCCCGTTCCCGTTCCCGTTCCCGTTCCGCTCCCGGTGCCGGTGCCTACGGGAAGAGCGCGTCCAGGACCCTCTGGCCGGTCAGCAGCGGGTGATTGGCCGGGAGCTTCTCGGCCACGGGCCGGACCTGCCGGACCGGCCACACCTGGATCATGGAGAGCGGCTCGCGGAGCCCCTGGAACTCCAGCTCCAGCACCACGTCCTGCGGGAGCGGCCGGGGTCAGCCGGGGTCGGCCCGGGACCGGCCCGGGACCGGCCGGGGTTAGCCGGGATCGGCCCGGGACCGGCCGGGGTCAGCCGGGACCGGCCTGGGACCGGCCCGGGACCGGCCGGGGTCAGCCGGGATCGGCCCGGGACCGGCCCGGGACCGGCCGGGGTC